ATCCATCCACCCATCTACCCATCACCCATCCACCGTCCACCCATCCACCCATCCATCCACCCATCCATCCATCAACCCACCCATCCACCCATCCATCTATCCATCCGTCCACCCATCCACCCATCCATCCATCCACCCACCCATCCACCCATCCATCCATCCATCCATCCACCCATCCATCCATCCATCCACCCATCCATCCACCCATCCACCCATCCATCCCTTCCATCCACCCATGCATTTACCCATCCATCCATCCATCCATCCACCCATCCATCCATCCATCCATCCATCCATCCACCCACCCATCCATCCATCCATCCATCCACTCGTGACTCAGTGAGGCACTTCCTGTGTTCATTCCCTTTATTTCCAGAGATCAGGGAGGCCCTGGGATGGGTCAGGTCTTGGCCTTGTGTCCAGTGTCCTTCTGTCTGTCTGTCTGTCCGTAGGTCAGTTGAAGGTGGGCAGGCCGAAGAGCTCGGGTTGTATGTCACCCAAGGAGGGCAGCAGCAGGGTGGCCCCGGCCATTGAGTTTGGGGTCGAGCTGGACGCTGGGCACCATGACCACCTGCATCCCCGCTGCCGGGGCGACCGCCATGCCGTGGGGCATGTCCTCCAGCACCAGGCACTGCGGGGTCAGAGGGCGAGAGAGACACGCGGAGTGAGAGGTCGGCCTGGGGGTGGGCCGGGTCCCCAGTGTTGGAGGGAAGGAAGGGGGGAAGGAAGGAAGGAAAGAAGGAAGGAGGGAAGGAAGGAAGGAGGGAAGGAAGGAAGGATGAAAAGGAAGGATGGAGGGAAGGAACAAGAAGGAAGGAGGGAAGGAAGGAAGGAAGGAGGGAAGGAAAGAAGGATGGAGGGAAGCAAGGAAGGAGGGAGGGAAGGAAAGAAGGATGGAGGGAAAGAAGGAAGGAGGGAAAGAAGGAGGGAAGGAAGGAGGGAAGGAAGGAGAGAGGGAAGGAAGGAGGGAAGGAAGGAGGGAGGGAAGGAAGGAGGGAGGGAAGGAAGGAGGGAGGGAAGGAAGGAAGGAGTGAAGGAAGTAGGGAAGGAAGGAAGGAAGGAGGGAAGGAAGGAAGGAGGGAAGGAAGGAAGGAGGGAAGATGACCGTTGAGCCACGGTGTGCCTACTGGCATGTTCTGTGTGTGACTTCGAGGCCTCCCCCACCCAGGGCCTGGTGTGGGCCAGGTGAGCACTGTGCCAAGGAGTCTCCCTCCCTGTTCCCCTGGGGCCGTCTGTCCATCCGTCTCTCCATCCGTCCATCCGTCTGTGTGATTGTGTGTCTGTCCGTGTCTGTCTGTCTGTCTCTGTGTGTCTGTCTGTCCCTATATCTGTCTGTCTGTGTCTCTGTGGTCGGTCTGTCTGGTCTGTTCTGTGTATCTGTCTGTCTGGACTCTTATGTCTGTCTGTCTGTGTCTGGCCATGTGTCTCTGTGTCTGTCTATCTGTGTGTGTCTGTCTCTGTATCCGTCTGTCTGTCTATATGTCTATTTGTGTGTCTCTGTAGTCTGTCTGTCTGTGTGTCTGTCTGCGTGTGTATGTCTATCTCTCTGTCTGTCTATCGGTGTGTGTCTGTCTGTGCTCTGTCTGTCTGTCTGTCTGCCTGGTCTGTGTATCTGTGTGTCTGTCTGTGTCTATCTGTCTGTCTGTGTGTCTATCAGTGTGTCTGTCTGTCTGTGTCTCTGTGGTCTGTCTGGTAGGTCTGTGAATCTGTGTGTCTGTCCCGTCTCTTGTGTCTGTCTGTCTGTCTATCTGTCTGGTCTCTGTGTCTGTGTGTCTGTGTGTCTATCTCTCTGTCAGTGTGTCTGTCTGTCTATCGGAGTGTGTCTGTCTGTCCGTGTCTCTGTGGTCTTTCTGTCTGTCTGTCTATGAGTCTGTCTCTGTGTCTGTGTCTCTATCTGGTTTGTCTGCCTGTCGGTCTGTGTGTCTATCTGTCTGTCTGTCTGTCTGCATGTCTGTCTGGTTTGTCCATGTGTCTATCTGTGTCTCTGTGTCCGTCTCTGCGTCTATCTGTGTGTCTCTATGTCTGGCTGTCTGTCTGTCTGGTCTGTGTATCTGTGTATCCGTCCATGTGTCTGTCTGTGTGTCTCTCTGTGTGTGGTCCATGCAGTGGACCCGAGGCCCGAGGCCTAAGTTTACCTGGTTGACGGGGGGGGGGGGGAGGAATGAGGAGAGAACCTGCGGGTGCAGGCCAGGAAGATGTCCAGAGAACCTGCGGGCGCAGGCCAGGAAGATGTCCGGGGCGGGCTTGCTGGCCTTGACCTCGGGGTCATCACCCAGCACCACGTGGTGAAAGGCACCGAACAGCTCCCGGTGTGCGCTGGTCTTGGCCTGGTAGGACTCAGTCCCTGAGCTGGTGGCCAGGGCGAAGGGGATGCTGTGCTTCTGCAGGTGGAGGATCAACTTCTCTGCACCTGGAGACAGAGAGACAGGAGGAGAAAAACCTTAGGTCTTTGGTGGCCTAGGGGGGAAATCCACAAA